CGGGCACACGTCCCCACGCAGATGTCACCGAGCACCCCAGGGGACACGTCCCCACCTGGATGTCACCACTTAGCCTTAGTCTACCCACCCATCCCACCCATACCACCACCACAGATGCCACCACCAGAGGTGCCACCATGCCACGCAACCTCTTTATTGTCCCCTCCCCGTCGTGCTGGGGCCACCACGGTCCCGGGGCTCCTCGGCCAGCAGCTCCAGCCTCAAGCGGAGGCCCCCGTCGGGCCGCAGGACCAGCTCGGGCGTGCGCCGCGCCGGGTGGTGGCCCTGGGCGGGCCGCAGGACAAAGCGCCGCAGCGTCAGCGCCGCCACCACCTTCATCTCGGCCATGGCGAAGCCGCGCCCGATGCAGTTCCTGCGGCCACCGGCGTCACCCACGCGTCACCGCGACGCGCCCGGGGGTGTCGGAGTCACCCTCTGGGCTCTCGGATCCCCCCCCCATTTGTAGGTGGCCTTGGTGAACCACCAAGGAGGAGATCCACAGGGGACCATGGGGACACCCACAAGGGACCAAGGTGGAGCTGGTGGCAAGTCTCCCCATGGGACTATGGTGGAGGGGACCCAAGGTAGGACCAGGGGGGATCCCTAGAAGGGGAGACCCTGGTGGAGGACAAGGTGGGACATTGATGGGCTATAGAACCAGGTTATGGGGAGATCCACAGGGGATCATGGGGAGACCCACAGGGGACCATGGGGAGACCCACAGGGGACCAAGCTGGAGATGGGTTGACCCGATGGCAGGACTAAGGAGCTATGGTTGAGGGAACACAAGGTGGGACCAGTGGGGACTCCTAGAAGGGGAGACCCTGGTGGAGGACAAGGTGGGACAYTGATGGGTGACAGGACCAGGTTATGGGGAGACCCACAGGGGAYCATGGGGAGACCCACAGGGGACCAAGCTGGAGCTGGGTTGACCTGGTGGCAAGACCTGGGGACTACGGTTGAGGAGACCCATAGTGGGACCAAGGAGACCCAAGCTGGGACCAAAGGGACCCCTAGAAGGGGAGACCCTGGTGGAGGACAAGGTGGGACATTGATGGGTGACAAGACCAGGTTATGGGGAGACCCACAGGGGATCATGGGGAGACCCATAGGGGACCAAGCTGGAGCTGGGTTGACCTGGTGACAAGACCTGGGAACTACGGTTGAGGGGATCCAAGATGGGACCAGGGGGACCCCTRGAAGGGGAGACCCTGCTGGAGGACAAGGTGGCCTGGGGACACCCAAAGGCGTCGGGGTGCTCGTGGTGGGACAGCATGGGGTGACGGAGAGATGAGGGTGGGGATGGGGACAACCTTTGTGATGCCCTAACTCGGTGCAGGAGTGACTAACCTTCCTCCTTGTCGCACGGGTGGACGGGGGGACATGGGGACAYGTGTAGGGAGACATGGGGACACGTGTGTCCCCTCTGTGGGGCTCACCTGGGGCCGGCGGAGAAGGGGACAAAGGCCAAWGGAGACTGTTCCTGCATGTTCTTGGGGCTGAAGCGCAGCGGGTCGAAGATCTGGGGCGACAGCGACGGTGTCACACCAGGGTGGGACACGCGGGGGACGTGTCCATGCCCGGAGGTGGCACATGGGACAAGCCGGTGCCAAGACACGTCCATGGCAGGACAGTGACATGTGGCCCAGAAGAACATGTCCACGTGGCATGGGGACATGTCTACACCATGAAAGATGGTGCAGATGGTGATGCGTGGCACCCCACCACGGTGACAGAGCTGCTGCCACCTCGGGGAGCCCCAGGCCCCCCAGATTGTCCTCCTGAGGACCATGCCACCACGGTGGCACCCCGAAGCTCTACCTGGGGGTCGGGCCACACGGCCGGGTTGTGGTGGGTCCCGTAGATGCTCAGCAAGCAGGTGGTGCCTGGTGGGAAGCAAAGGGACGCATTGGGGACGGGGGACAGGAGGTCACGGGGGGACCCATGGGCGAGCCGGTACCGCTGGGGACCACGTGGCCGTGGGGCAGCGCCAGGTCCTTGGTGCAGCGCCGCGACACGGCGGTGACGGGCGGGTGCAGCCGCAGGCTCTCCTTGATGCACATGGTGGTGAAGGGCAGGTGGGACAGGTCCTCCCTGGTGGGGACCACGGCRTGAGGGGACAGCGGTGTCCTCAAACTGGGAAGGGTGGAAGGTGGSCGGGTCTCTCACCACTCGATCTCCTCCACTTCTCGGTCCTTGAGGAGCTCCAGGACCTCTTGGCGGCACCGCTCCTGGTGCTTGGGGTGACAGGCCAGGTTGTAGAGCAGCCAGGACAAGCCGCTGGCCGTGGTGTCGTGGCCTGCAGGGGACAAGYGGGGGCTGTGGGGACATCCCTTGGCACCCCACCGCCCACCTGGCCGGGGCGCCCGGGGACCCCCTCACCCTCGAACATGAACGTGTCGGCCTCRGCTGAGATGTCCTCGTCCGACAGGGCACTGCCGTCCTCGTCCTGCGAGGGGACCGTGGCGACAGAGGGGCCACCACCCTATGGCCAACCTTCCCCATGGCCAGCTTCTCCACGGCCACCACCATCTCCCAAAGCCACCACCCTATGGCCCACACCATCCCATGGCCATCGCTTTCCACCGTGGCCATCAACCTACGGCCGACGTTCTTCATGATCAACCCTTGTTTGGCCACCACCATCTCCCATGGCCACCACCCTATGGCTAATGTTCCTCATGACCAATCCTCTCTTGGCCACCACCGTATGGCCAACCTTCCCCATGGCCACCTTCTGCAAGGCCACCACCCTCTTCCTTGGCCATCACCATCTCCCTTGGCCACCACCCTACGGCCAATGTTCCTCATGAGCAACCCTCCCTTGGCTCCTCCCATGGTTCCCCATGACCAACCTTCTCTTGGCCACCACCATCTCCCATAGYCACCACCCTATGGCCAACCTTCCCCACGGCCATCTTCTGCAAGGCCACCATCATCTCYCTTGGCCACCACCCTACGGCCAACGTTCCTCCTGATCAACCCTTCCGTGGCCACCACCATCTCCCATGGCCACCTTCTATGGCCAACGTTCCTCATGACCAACCTTCTCTTGGCCAACACCATCTCCCATGGCCACCACACTACAGCCAACGTTCTTCATAACCAACCCTCCCTTGGCCACCACCATCTCCCATGGCCACCTATTATGACCAATGTTCCTCACGGCCAACCCTCTCTTGGCCACCACCATCTCCCTTGGCCACCACCCTCCAACCCTCCCCACGGGCCCCCCCATTCCCTTCCCCATGCCGGGGCCACCTTAGCGAGCAGGAGGAGGTCAATGAAGTCCATTCTCCCGCCCTGGTGGTCCTGCAGCCAGGCTTGGTGGCCCAGGCGCTGGAGCTCCTGGCGCCGCCGCTGCACCACGGCCGCGGTGAAACCGTGCACGGCGGCGCAGGCCCGGGCGAAGCGGCGCCCGTCGGCCGAGCGGCRGTAGAGCCACTCGAGGTGGTGGAGGAGCCGGTGCTGGCGCCGCACCACCAGCTTGCTGAGCTCCAGGATGGCCGCAATGTACTCGCTGGGCTGCCTGCGGGACACGGTGGGGACATCTGCCCGTGGATGCTGCAGGCCACTGGAGGTGGCCCCTCAAGCTGGACACCTCTTGATTGGTGTCGGGACGGGCGTTGGGGACATGGGGGTGGCCCACAGGGATGTGGTGGGACAGGCTGGGTCTGGCCCTGTAGGGGGGACCTGGTGGGGACAGGGCTGGGGGACACTGGTGGGGACAGAACCCAGGGGGACCTCCAGGAACAAGACGGGGAGACTGGAAGGGCAAAGTCACGGTGGGGGGACCCAGGTGGTGGGGACAGATTTGGGGTTCCTAGGTTGGGGGGACACCAGTGGGGACCAAGCTGGGACCAGRGGGGACCCCTAGGAGGGGAGACCCTGGTGGAGGACAAGAGGGGACACAGATGGATGACAAGACCAGGCTTTGGGGAGACCCACAGGGGATCATGGGGAGACCCACAGGGGACCAAGGTGGAGCTGGGTTGACCTGGTGGCAAGACCTGGGGACTACGGTTGAGGGGACCCAAGGGGGGACCCCTAGAAGGGGAGACCCTGGTGGAGGACAAGGTGGGACACTGATGGGTGACAGGACCAGGTTATGGGGAGACCCACAGGGGATCATGGGGAGACCCACAGGGGACCAAGGTGGAGCTGGGTTGACCTGGTGGGCAAGACCAGCGGACTACGGTTGAGGGGACCCAAGGTGGGACCGGGGGACCCAAGGTGGATCCAGAGGGACCCAAGGGGGACCTGGGGGGGACACAGGGGACACGGCGGGGTGCTCACTCCTGGCAGTGGCTGTCGTGGCTGAAGATGCATTTCTGGAGGCTATCGAGGGTGAGCAGGGCCAAGGGCTCGAAGATGTCCAGCACCACGGGTCCCTCCGCCGCCGCCCGCCGCCACTTGTCCTGGGGGGGCGGGACGGGGTCTGGGTGCAGGTTGGGGGCTGGGTGCCAGTCGGGGTCCCTATTTGGGTTGGGGTCTGGGTGCAGGGTCTAGGTGTGGGGCAGTGGGTGCAGGTGGGACTCCATGGGCACGTCAGGATATGGGTGCAGGTCAAGGTGTGGGTGCAGGTTGGGGTCTAGGGGGTGCAGGACAGTGGGTGCAGATTGGGGTCTGGGTCTGGTCAAGGTGCAGGTGCAGGTTGGAGTCTATGGGGTGCAGGTCAGGATGTGGGTGCAGGACAATGGGTGCAGGTTGAGGTTTGGGTGCAGGTCAAGGTGTAGGCTGGGATCTAGGTGCAGGTCGGGGTGTGGGTGCAGGACGATGGGTGCAGATTGAGGTCTGGGTGCACGTCACGGGGTGGGTGCAGGACAATGGGTGCAGGTTGGGATCTAGGTGCAGGTCAGGATGTGGGTGCAGGACAATGGGTGCAGGTTGAGGTCTAGATTCAGGTCAGGTTCTGGGTGCAGGACAATGGGTGCAGGTTGGGGTCTGGGTGGGGGTTGGGGTCTCCATGGGGTCTTGGTGCCCCGGGGACCCTCACGTGCATGATCTGGGTGCTCTGGTTGAAGATGCCCATGTAGGACTTGAGGACGTTGGGGTGGAAAGCCGGGGTCAGCAGGCGCCGGTGCCGGCTCCACTTGCGCCCGTGGCTCAGCAGCAGCCCATCCCCTGCACGGGAGACCCTCGGGGTCCAGGTGGGCACCCATGGGTGCCACCGCACCCCCAATGTCACCCGTGCGGCCCCGCTCACCCAGCCAGGGCTTGAGGAAGCCGTAGAAGAACTTGTCCTTGGGGGCCACCAGGGCTGCAAGAGAGCGACGCGGCTTCTGGAGGTCCTGCACCCATGGTCTTTGGTGGGGGGTTGTGAGAGATGGGTGGGGGGACCTCAGGGAACCCCCCACCCTTGGGGTGACCCACCCTGGAAGAGCCCAAGGGTCAAGGTGAGCAGCAGGTGAGACATGGGTGGTGAGTCCCAATGGAGCTCAATGGGACGGGTGACACCTCGGGGACCCTCCCTCATCACCAAGGACCACCCCGAGATGCCACCACCCACCTGCACCGCTCCAGCTTGCAGTTCTCCGGTCCCCAGACCCCATGGTGGGACCCAGGCCAAGTAGGGGACGCCCAAAGAGCCCCATCCACGTGTGGGTGACCCGGCCACCATCCCCCTCGAGGTGTCCCCTGGAGCTACCTGGGGCCAGGAGCACCGGCCGGAGGGTGTCGGGGTGGAAGAGGCGGAGGATGGGCCTCCACGGGGCCACCCACCAGACGCAGCAGTGGCTGTAGTGCCCCACCAGCTCGTCCACCTTCTGCAGACCTTCCTCCGTGCTCTGGGCCTGTGGTAGGGGGGACAGGTCGGCCGAAGCCACTGGGGTCGTGGTCACCTTAGGAGGTCACCACCCCGGGTTCGTGGCCACCTTGGGGCTCAAGGCTGGTCCTTGGGATGTGCTCATGAGTGCAGGGGTGGGATGTGTGGGCAGATGTGTCCATGGCTTGGATGGGACGCGTGTTCGTGGAGGAGACCCGGGTCTGTGGATGGGACACCTGTCTGTGGCTGTAGAACATGTCCTTGGATGGGACATGTCCATAAATGGGACGTGTGTCTCTGGATGGGAATTGCTCACAGGTGGGGCATGGGGTCCATGGATGGGACAAGTGTCCGTGGATGGGACACAGGGACCAAGGATGGACCATGAGATCCACTGACGGGCCATGGGACCCACAGATGGGATAAGTGTCCATGCATGGGACACAGGGTCCATGGATGGGCCATGGGATCCGCTGAGGACCCACAGATGGGACAAGTGTCCATGGATGGGACACAGGGACCATGGATGGGCTATGAGATCCACTGACGGGCCATGGGACCCACAGATGGGACAAGTGTCCATGGATGGGACACAAGGTCCATGGATGGGACACAGGGTCCACGGATGAGACACAAGGTCCATGCATGGAACATGTATCCATAGGTGGGCCATGGGATCCTTGGATGACCCAAGGATGGGATGACCCAAGGGTGCCTTAATCAAGGCACCCACGGATAAGTCATGGGTGGGCCACATGCCTATGGGTGGGACACGCCCATGTCCTGGTCATGGGTCCACGGAAGCAGCACGTGATCCACAGACAGGGACTGGACACCCAACCCACCCTGCAGCACCCTGGGGTGCCACGGGCGGGGGTGACAGCTGGTCCACCGGCTACCCCCCACCATGGGTGGCCACCACCCACCCTGTGCCCACACCACCTCCTTCCCCACGAGCTGAACCCCGACACCCTCCCCACACCAAGGAGCACCCAAAACACCTCCCGCCACCCCGGGGCCACCCTTGGGTGACACGGGGCGCCCGCCGCGTCCTTACCATGCCCATGTGGCCCAGCAGCCAGTTGCGCCAGGGCGGCCGGGGGAAGCGGCGCAGGAGGCCCCACGCGCGGTGGACCCGGCGCCCGGCGGCCACCACGCGCCACAGCAAGGCCACGGCGCCCAGGAGCACGGTGGCCACCAGCCACGCCGTGGCCATGGCCACCGGTGGCTTTGGTCCTTCCGTCTGTGCGTGTGATGGACTTTGTGCCGTGGTGGGGACGTAGGGACGGCCCCGGGGTGGGGCCGTGGGTGGTCACGTGGGACGGAGGCGCTGGTTGGTTGGAGGTGGTGGTGGCACCTCCCACAGCGCCCGGTGTTGACAAACCGGCCAACACGTGTCCTGGTGACGTCATCTCCCCCACCTTATGCCATGGTGGTCTTGTCCCCCCCCTCCACCTGGTGACATCATCTCCCCCCATGATGTGTCATGRTGGTCTTGTCCTCTTGTCCTCCCCACACTGTGTGTCCTGGTGACATCATCTCCCCCCTGATGTGTCATGATGGTCTTGTCCTCTTGTCCTCCCCACACTGTGTGTCCTGGTCACATCATCTCCCCCCATGATGTGTCATGGTGGTCCTGTCCCCCCGCCACCATGTGTCCTGGTGGCATCATCTCCCCCACCTTATGTCATGATGGTCTTGTCCTCCTCAACATCTATCTTCATGGTATGGACCCCCAACACGTGTCCTAGTGGCATCATCTCCCCCATCATGTGTCATGGTGGTCTTGTCCCCCTCCCAGCATATGTCATGGTGGTCTTGCCCCCCCCACAACCTGTGTCTTTATGCTATGGACCCCCCAACACATGTCATGGTGGTCTTGTCCCCCTCAACATGTGTCTTCAGGATATGGACCCCCCAACATGTGTCCTGGTGACATCAMAACATCAAACCTGCGCCCCCCATGGATCTTGGTGGCCTTGTCCCCCTCCCCAACATATGTCTTCATGGTATGGACAACCTAACACATGTCCTGGTGGCATCATCTCCCCCGCCACACCATGTGCCATAGTGGGCTCGCCCCCCCACCAACACATGTCATGGTGGTCTTGCCCCCCTTGACATGTGTCTTCATGGTATGGACCCCCCAACACGTGTCCTGGTGGCATCATCCCCCCCACCATGTGTCGTGGTGGTCTTGTCCCCCTCCCCAACATGTGTCTTCATGGTATGGACCCCCCAACACATGTCATGGTGGTCTTGTCTCCCTCCCCAACCTATATCAAGGTGGTCTTGCCCCCTTTGACATGGGTCTTCATGCTATGGACCACCTACCATGTGTCCTGGTGACATCATCTCCCCCACCATGTGTCATGGTGGTCTTGTCCCCCTCCCCAGCCTATATCAAGGTGGTCTTGCCCCCTTTGACATGGGTCTTCATGCTATGGACCACCTACCATGTGTCCTGGTGGCATCATCCCCCCACTATGTGTCTTGGTGGTCTTGGCCCCCCCCAACGTGTGTCCTGGTCATCTTGTCCCCAAAGCACGTATCTTAGTGGCATCACCCCCCCAACATACGTCATGCTGGAACGTATGGACCCCCTCCACGTGGGTCCTGGTGGCCTTGTCCCACCTCACGTGTCTCTCAGTGCCACCCTGCCCTGCCGCCCCACCCATGGGTGCCAGGACACCCATGGGGCCGCTCTGCCACCCCACCCATGGGTGCCAGGACACCCATGGGGCCGCTCTGCCACCCCACCCATGGGTGCTGAGCCACCCACGGGGCGCTGCCGCCCTGTCACCCCACCCATGGGTGTTGGGACACGCGTGGCGTCGCGCCCTGGTGTTCCAGCACCCACGGGTGTTGGGACATCCGTGGGTGCTGGGACACCAGGGCCACCTTCAGGAGAGGGAGCGCAATCCCTACAAGCCACCAGAGAAGACACCCTGGTGGGGGGGTGGGGGGGGAGAGGAAGCCCCGCCTCCCAATTTAGCCCCKCCCCCGGGCGGGTTCCAGTTTAACCAGTTGGGCCGGAGCGGCGGCAGTGGGAGGGGAAGCGGGTTGGGAGCGGGGCCTCCGGGGCACGGCTGCACACGCGTGTGGGCGCACACGCGTGTGGCCCCGTGCATGCACACGCATCACCGTGCGTGCACGTGCAACCCCGTGCATGCACACGCATGCACACGTGTCTCCATGCATGCAAATGCAACCCTGTGCATGCATGCACATGCATGTGTGTCTGTGCATGCACATGCAACCCTGTGCATGCRCGTGCATGCACATAGGTCTYGATGCATGCAAATGCAACCCTGTGCATGCACGTGCATGCACATGCATCACCGTGCGTGCACGTGCAACCCTGTGCGTGCACACGCATGCACACGTGTCTCCATGCATGCAAMTGCAACCCCGTGCATTCATGCAATCATGTCTCTGTGCATGCACCTGCAACCCTGTGCATGCGCGTGCATGCACRTGTGTCTCAATGCATGCAAATGCAACCTTGTATATTCACGCACGCATGTCTCTGTGCATGCACATGCAACCCTGTGCATGCACACGTGTCTCCATGCATGCAAATGCAACCCTGTGCATTCATGAAGGTGTGTCTTCGTGCATGTAAATGCAACCCTGTGAATGCACATGCATCATTGTGCATACAAATGCAAGCCTGTGCATGCACATGTGTATCCATGCRTGCAAATGCAACCCTGTGCATGCACGCGCATCACCGTGCATGCATGCGCATGCACATGTGTCTTCATGCATGCAAATGCAACCCTGTGCACTCATGCACGCGCATGACCATGCATGCACATGCAACCCTGTGCATGCGCGTGCATGCACCCACATCACCGTGCATGCACACGCATCTCCATGCATGCAAACGCAACCCTGTGCATGCATGCACATGCACGTGTGTCTCTGTGCATGCACACGCAACTCTGTGCATGCACATGCAACTCTGTGCATGCACATGTGTCTCGATGCATGCAAATGCAACCCTGTGCATGCACGTGCATCACGGTGCATGCACATGCAACCCCGTGCATGCACACGCATGCACACGTGTCTCCATGCGTGCAAATGCAACCCTGTGCATGCTTGCTCGTCTCGGTGCATGCACGTGCATGCACCCCCACCTCCGTGCATACAAACACAGCCCCGTGCATGTTGTGCATGCATACTCAYACACATGTGCATGCATACACACGCCTGCACACGCGTGCACCCCCTCTTTGCACGCTGCACCCCCCCCAACCTTGCACACGCGTCCCGCACGCCACCCCCACGGGCCACCCCCACCGCCCTGCGGTGACACCTGCGTCACCGGGGAGGGGACAAAGTCCCGTCCTTCCCCCCCACCCCGCGACACACGCGTGTGCCGGTGCCGACATGCTCCCGACACGCGTGCCGTGCCTCGCGCTGCTGCTGAGCCTCTGCGCACGCGCGGACGCAGGTATGTGGCACCGCGGCACGCGTGTCCTGGCGGCTCCCGTTTCCACCACCCGCATGTGGCACCGGTGACACGGGTCCCTACAGGCGCCTAGCCCCCATGCAGCTGCATCATACATGTCCTTAGCATGTCCTTAGCTTGCTCATTGCATGCCCTTTAGCAACCCCTTAGCATGTCCTTAGCATGTCCTTACTGTGTTCACAGCCCACCCTTAGCATGTCCTTAGCTTGCCTTTTGCATGCMATTTRGCATGTCCTTAGTGTGTCCTTAGCATGTCTTTACCRTGTCCGCAGCCCACCCTTAGCATGTCCTTAGCTTGCTCTTAGTGTGTCCTTAGCATGTCCTTAGCTTGCCTTATGTATGCCCTTTAGCAACCCCTTAGCATGTCCTTAGCATGTCCTTACCGTGCCCGCAGTCCACCCTTAGCATGTCCTTAGCTTGCCTTTTGCATGCCCTTCAGCAACCCATTAGCGTGTCCTTAGCATGTCCTTACTGTGTCCACAGCCCACCCTTAGCATGTCCTTAGCTTGCCTTTTGCATGCAATTTAGCATGTCCTTAGTGTGTCCTTAGCATGTCTTTACCGTGTCCACAGCCCACCCTTAGCATGTCCTTAGCTTGCCTTTCTCATGCCCTTTAGCAACCCCTTAGCATGTCCTTAGCATGTCCTTAGCATGTCCTTGCCATGTCCATAGCCCACCCTTAGCACGTCCTTAGCTTGCTCTTAGTGTGTCCTTAGTGTGCTCTTAGTATGCCCTTAGCATGTCCTTAGCTTACCTTTTGCATGTCCTTTAGGAAACCCTTAGCATGTCCTTACCATGTCCATAGCCCACCCTTAGCATGTCCTTAGCTTGCTCTTAGTGTGTCCTTAGCATACTCTTAGTGTGTCCTTAGCATGTCCTTAGCATGTCCTTACCGTGTCCACAGCCCACCCTTAGCACATCCTTAGCTTGCTCTTAGTGTGTCCTTAGCGTGCTCTTAGCGTGTCCTTAGCGTGCTCTTCGCGTGTCCTTAGCGTGTCCTTCGCGTGGCCACGCTCTCCCCCAGCGCTTCCCGACATTCCCACCGCCACCCCTGCCCATTCCCTTTATCCCGGGCCTTTTTTCCCCCCGGACGGGGGAAGCGGAGGCTGGAATTTGCCCCCGGACGGAGGCCGTGGCCGGGAGGTCACCGGGCGCTGCCCCCGATCCCGATTTCCTCCCTCCAATCCCGATTATTTCCCTCCTCTCCCGTTTCACCTTGCTCTAATCCCATTTTTACTGCTCTTTTCCCAGTATATTTCCCTCCAATCCCATTTTTCCTGATCCCATCCCATTTTATTTCGCTCCGATCCCATTTCGTCTCGCTCCAATCCCGTTTATCTCACTCTGATCCCAGGATATCCTATTCCAAATGGAGTTATCTTGCTCCAAGCCCTTTTTATTTTCCTCTATCCCATTTTATCTCTTTCCAATCCCATTTATTCCCTTCCAATCCTGTTTATCTCACTAGGATCCTGTTTATCTCCCTGGGATCCCATTTATCTCCCTGGGATCCCATTCCACTCCTTGGGATCCCATTAATCTCACTCCAATCCCATTTATCTCCCTGGGATCCCATTCCTCT